GCAATATGTCATTTGATTTCATGACTGCTGCTTCCATAAGAATTGATTATAGATTGAAGCAAATTGACATCTTTGACAACTTCAACACTGAAATAATCCATAAGAAGTTCAGATCCAGGGAAGACAGTTTGAAGTTGAGTCCCACCAAGTTAAAGGGGCTTAAGAAACACCTTGGGCACTTCACAGATCCATCCTAACCAAATATGAAACCAAGCCTGCACAAGTTCAGGGGACTCAGCAAGTAATTCACTGCCTGCTAAAAGAAAATTCAATAGTCACAAGAAAATAAAGTCTCTAAAATGTATACACTATACTAGCAATTATAAAATGAAAAATCGCCAGGTTTAGGATTTTAGGACTATTAGGCTCACACTCAAGACAGGGGAGGAGGACAGCCAATATAAGCAAAATCTGATATGGTCCAGGTATTGCACTTAGGAAACTATATGCAAGAACTCCAAACACATTTACACCTAAAGATTTACACCATTACTGGACTTCCACTCTCAAACCAGGACTTCTCTGAGAGGCATGTGAAGGGTCAGAAAGAGATCTAGTTAATGCTGCAGTGAAACCAAACGCCTCACCTCCATGTTAACCCCTGGTAGTTGCCTAAACACTGGGCATTATCCCCTAAAATACACACACACAAATACACCACCATACCTCAACCATATAAGGGACAGGGAGAGTCATATTTCCAGTTAAAAGAGAAATTTAATTTGGTGATGTTGTTGTTGTTGTGTGCCATGGAGTCGACCCTGTACAGGGTTTCTGAGGCCATAAATCTTTATGGGAGCAGAAAGCCTCATCTTTCTGCCATGGAACAGCTGGTAGTTTTGAACTGCTGACCTTGCGGTTCATAGCCCGATTCACTACGCTACCAGAGCTCCTTGTGCTATAGTGTCCAAAATAAAGCTAGAAAGCTAATAAGTGATCATATGATATCAGTCTTCTGGAACACTCTGCGACACGGCAAAAGCCAAAGCCAGTATCCCACAGTCCTCCTCGCCTTGTGAGTCACCTCCAAGTGGTTTCATCTTGTAGAGATAAATATTCATATGCCCTTGTCTTCAACAGTCTCCCTCCTAGGCCTATATGCAGAAAAAACTCTTGCAAGCAGACACCAGGAATGTATTCAAGAATGATCATAAAACACCATCTATAACAGAAAAGTTTTGCAAACTTCCTGCCTCCCCAACTGTTTGAAGATTGATAACCTAAACTATTCACACAATGGGATACTGAAGAGTATTCACGATGAATGAAATGTGGAGGAATCTTAGCAATAATCATAGAGTGGAAAAAGCAAATCCCCAGACATTACATTCAGGGTATTACTCTTCTAACGTAATTCAACAAAAGTAAATTAGAAACTATACTTTTCAGGAATTGTAGAGATACGACTCAACTCTATTTTTCAAAGAGGAAACAGAATGATGAGACTAGTTACCTCAAGAAGTTAGAGGTACATTATTAACTGAAGAGTTCAGTTCCAACCTAAAATATTATGTGTAATTTGTCAGGCCTGACCACAGGCAATTATATAAGCTTTACCTGCCTAGCATCAGGGGAAAAATTCCTTCCCCAACCATACATGTTCCACAGCCAATGGAATTCAGTCTCTGAGGAGATTTGCAGCCAAGGACTCAGACCCCAAGCTATCCAAGTTCTAGTCTTCCACATATCTGTATTCCTAACCCCTGTGCCTTCATATGAGGGCCTCTTTAATGAGGGTCTTCAGTAGAGTCCTTCCTCAGTGACTCTGCTGAAGTGTCCTGACCAGGGGGAATCAGAGGGAAGGATGAAGATGCTTTCTCCCATTCATGCTTTTACATCATTTTTCCACCCCTTGCCCCTCTCCCCTGTCTCTGCGTCTATAAAACTGCAGGAGCCTTTTGTTCCGGACACCCTCTTCAGGGACAGTACCCCCACATCTACACTGATTCACCTGACTCTCACCTGGTTGCCATTTCTGAGGAAATGGGGAGCAAGGAAGTCAGAGTTCCTTTGCCAGGTATCTCTATCTTATACTATCACAATAATTAATTAAAGGCTTGACTGTTACTTTTATTTTGGCTCCTTGTCTTAAGCAGCTTCTTGGACACCTTGCAGCTCAGCTCTGCCCGCTCAGGTTAATTCCCTTGATATTGAAAATGTTTCAGCTTCATGTTAGGAAATGGGGTTATGGGGATCTGCTACATTATAATGCAGTAATTAATATTTAATCATAAAAAATAGATCATGCATGGACCAGAGATGGTATTGTGTCAAGATCAAAACTAATCCAATTCTATGAACTTGAGGTACAATCAAGTCAAAAATTGTCCCACTGGATATATTTTCCTTGTCAAAGGAAAGAAGAGAACTTCCAACAAGATAAGAAAAGTCATCCTCAATGCTGTAAGGTATCTTGACATCCCCTCCAGGGCTAACTGACTACAAAGGTTTGTTGTTGTTGTTGTTGTTGTCGTTGTTGTTGTTGTTGTTGTCAGGTGCCATCGAGTCGGAACCGACTCATAG